TCTCGGAATGAGGTAATCCAAGATTTGTTGGAAAGCTAGAGAATAGTTCTACAACTTTCCATAGGCGCACCACTCTGTTTTTGTGCGCAACACCTTCCGTTGCCGTGCCTATACGCGTCAATGTTCCTTGTCACGGGTGTTCATATTGTTCTTCTATGTTGTTTCACCTGTTCATTTGCTTCTTTTGGCTTTGGATGATCCTCTCTGATTTAGATAGTGACATTCATACCTACAGGCATTTTTAGACACCTACAACTGTGTTTGGTTCAACCTTTAATTTATAGAAAACTTTTCTGTAAAGTACAGAAAATTGTACAGTTTTACAGAAAATATTTTCCTCTAAGGGGGTGTTTGGTTCAATTTCTATAAATTATAGGAAATGTTTTCCACCCAAAATATGATTTCCTTGTATTTCTTAAAAATTTATATAAAATGTTTTCCACCCAAAATATGATTTCCTTATATTTCTTAAAAAAATTATAGGAAAGTTTTGAGAAGTCAAAAAGTACCAATTTTCTTGTTTTTTTTTTACTTTGCTTGTTTGGTTCAAAACAAGAAAATGACCAATAACTTTATAGAAAATAGCAAGATTTTTTATAACTTGTAGAAATTGAACCAAACACCCCCTAAATTTATAGAAAAATGTCAATGTGGTATCAGATTTCTGTGTGATTTTCGTCCATTTTGAGAGAAAATTAATTTATGTAAATTTTAATACTTTTTTATACTTTACAAAAAATATTTTTGTAAATTTTTTTTGAACCAAACACAGTTTACGAAAATATATAAAAAAAATTTAATTATAGAATTGTCATTGTCAGACATTTTGAGAAAACTTTTCTATAAAATTGTGCAACCAAATAACCCCTAAAAATGAGTGGAAAAAACCCTAAAATCTGACACCAAACAATTAAAATATTAAACAAACCCTTTCACCACATTTTCACCCCCATTGTGATTTTCTCGTGGCCGCTTAAACTCGGAAAATTTTTGAGTTTTCTTCCTTCATTCCCGCCCCCAAACCCATTCTCCCGCTCGACCTTATCCCTTTCTCCTTCGCTCCTCAACTTCCCCCAAATTTCTAGGGTTAGGGTTTTAACCCCGAAAATCACTCCTCAAAAACCCTAGCAAATGGCGTCCTCATCCTCCGCAAATTCCACCTTCTCACCTCCGTCTCCCCCATCTCCTCCTCCTCCAAAACCTCCTTCTCCTCATCCAAATCCCTCTTCTTCTTCTCCCCCTCAACCCCTCTCGCTTCCCCAAATACGGCCTCTGGCTGTGGTGATCCTCTGCTCGCCCTCTCCTCGTCATTAGCGAGAAGGTCGTCGACATCGATTTTGGCACCACGAACTCCGCCGTGACGACGATGGAGGGATGGAATCCGACAATCATGATCAACGCCGAGGGGCAGCGGACGACGCCATCGGTGGTCGCTTACACGAAGAGCGGGGACCGGGCCGTGGTGAACCCCGAGAACACGTTATTCTTGGTGAAGAGGTTTATTGGGAGGAAGATGGTGGAGGTTTGATGATGAGTTGAAGTATGTGAGTTATAGGGTTGTGAAGGATGATAATGGGAATGCGAAGCTGGAGTGTCCGGCCATCGGGAAGCAGTTTGTGGCTGAGGAGATCTCGGTGCAGGTTGAATTCTATCCCTTTGGTGTGATTCTTGTTGTCATTCTCAAACCCAATTGCATCTGTGATTTTATAGCATGTTATCAGGTTATTCTGATTGGTAATATTTTGCTGATGTTTCAAGTGTATGAATGTGGTTTTTAAAAATAATCGGCATTTTATGTCTGAGAATGATATTTGGAATATGCATTTAGTTATTATGCTAATTTTTTGTTACTATACTGATTTCGAGCTTTTTTAGCTCTATATTATGGGGTTTTTGGTTGATATTCGTGCTCGTTGTCGAGCTGCTGGGTTATTTTTTTGTTATTGTGTTGATTTTGAGCTTGTTTAGCTCTATATTGTGGGGTTTTTTGTTGATATTTGTGATCGTTGTCAAGCTGTTGGGGCTATTTTTTTTTGTTACTGTGTTGATTTTGGGCTTGTTTAGCTCGATATTGTGTGTTTTTTGGTTGATATCCATGCTCGTTGTCGAGCTGCTGAGGCTATTTTTTTGTTATTGTACTGATTTCGAGCTTTTTTAGCTCTATATTGTGGGGGGGTTGGTTGATATTCGTGCTTGTTGTCAAGCTGCTGAGGCTGTTTTATTTACTGTGCTGATTTTGAGCTTGTTTAGCTCTATATTGTGGGGGGTTTGGTTGATATTCGTGCTCGTTGTCGAGCTATTGGGGCTATTTTTTGTTACTATGCTGCTTCGAGCTTGTTTAGCTTTATATTGTAGGATTTTTGGTTGATATTCATGCTCGTTGTCGAGCTATTGGGGCTGTTTTTTTGTTACTATGCTGATTCGAGCTTGTTTAGCTCTATATTGTGGGGTTTTTAGATGATATTTGTGCTCGTTGTCAAGCTGCTAGGGCTATTTTTTTGTTACTGTACTGATTCCAAGCTTGTTTAGCTCTATATTGTGGGGGTTTTAGTTGATATTTGTGCTTGTTGTCGAGCTGTTGGGGCTGGGTTTTTGGATGATATTCGTTCTCATTGTCGAGCTGCTATGGCTATTATTTTGTTATTATGCTGATTTCGAGCTTGTTTAGCTCTATATTGTGGGTTTTTTGGTTGATATTTGTGCTTGTTGTTGAGCTGTTAGGGTTATTTTTTTGTTACTATGCTAATTCAAGTTGTTTAGCTCTATATTCACATAATATTGTTCGGATTTCAAGTTGTTAGTGGTGTTTTGGTTCCGTTTGGAGTTCAGATTGAGCTTGTGGCAATGATGATGGTCAACTAAATAAGAATGCAAACTAATTTACAATGTTCATAATAAGATACAACCTTCTTTACTACGTTATTAGAACGCAATCTACGTGAACTTGTACGTTTCAGTTGAGGTAATCAATTTTGATAAAAGACCAATAAGTGAGCCAAATTGTGGAAATTGCGAAAATTTTGTGTTCATGGATAGTTGAGGATAGAAAGATTTTATAAGATTTGGGAATGTGAAACTAGCCGTTAAACTAACCGTTATAAAGTGATAAATATGGTAGTTGATACTTTTTTATAAATTTGACATATGTAACCAAACAAAAGAAAAGGAAAAGTTGTTGCTTCTATAAAGTAATGGGCTCATTTTCTTGTTTTGAACCAAACTAGCAAAGTACAAAAAATAAAAAAAATTAGTACTTTTTGACTTCTCAAAACTTTTCCTATAATTTTTTAAGAAATATAAAGAAATCCATATTCTGGGTGTTTTCCTTTTCCTATAATTTATAGAAATTGAACCAAACACCCCCATATACTATATCTATTTTGTTTAGATTATAAGTTGTTTGGCCATCTTGTTCCACTTGGTAAAAAAGCTCAATTCACTTGTAAATATTAATTGTTAATCCACCTTTCTAAGATCATGTATCTTTGTTCTTGCTTTTGGTTAAGGTAAGCACTACAATGTCGAAACCAATAGTCCCGTAAGGCCCTGTTTGGCAAAGTATTAAGGAAGAGGTATTAAGAAGAATGATTAACATAGTTAGCCCATTTGATAACCCGAATGACTAAATTATTAATCCATTATATATGTTTTATTTTAGCCCTTATAATCATTTTTAGTGTTTGGGGATAACAATGATTTTGACTATTTTCTTTATAATTAGAGGGGTTAACTTTTAATCATTCTAAATAGAAGTATTAGTAAACCCCTCATTTTAAGGGGTTAACTCATTTTAATCTCTCTAGTAGGGTTAGCTTAGTCATTCTATATTTTTTACGTTTGGCAAATTATAGAGGGTTAACTCACCTCATCCATTGTGTAAATTTTTTATGTTCGGCAGATTAAAAAGATGTTAAGTCTCATTAATCCCTCACTTAACCCTTTGCCAAAACGGCTCCTAAAGGGATCGGTGGCCTTAATTCCTATGAATTCATGGATCATAGCACTAGTGGCCATTTTCAATTCTATAATTGGAACCATGCAGGAATGATTGGTATCGGCACAAATAAGCACAATTAAGGCGAGGCTTTTGTTTAATGTGTCTACTGCCTTTTGCTAGCTAATTGTTTATGCACCCTCCTAAGTGCTCCCTGGATTTGGGGAATCAAAAGCGAGGGAACAAGGTTCACACCTGAGCAACATATACGGATATGTATATTGTATCCAGTGCAGTTGCTGTAACCATTGTCACACGCACTTGTACTTATTTGATGAATTCGGTTTTAAAAGGATACATATTGGTCAATTTTCCATCTGAATTCTGCTCGATAAGCACCTCTGTTCAATACAAATTTGGCTAACAAGGTTTGGCATTAATGTGCGTGCTAGCGGATACGGATCCAACGAGAAGGATAGTTGTGAGAAAAGTACAAATCATATCTAACACGATTTAATCAGGGCAGAATGTTCTGAATCATATATGAGATAATTGAAATTTCCAAATGTGTCACGTCATCTTTAATTTGTTGATTTATTTGCTGATAGGGCTCATAAAGTGTTGTTGTTTTGAACTTACTATCTCTCTCTGTAGTTTTACCGTTACATATACTCCTCTACACAAATGGAAAAATCCAAGATTTACTATTCACGATACAGTAATACTACAGTAACGTTATTACTATAGAAAACATGAAACTGGATATCGTAGCATTTTTTAAAAAATATCATCGTAGCACACGGGAATACTGTAGCCTTTTTTAAAAATGTGGGACAGATGTGTGAACTGTAGCAATGCAAAAAAAAAATTAAAAATATTATTGTAGTATTTAAAATTAAGATTACTGTAACGGGAAAAAAAATACGTGGTGTTTTTTGCACGATGTTCACGATTAGTATATACCAAAAAAGGAATGGCTCAATATGCAAGACTCCTATCATTACACTCTCTCATGAGTTGAGTTATGAGGGTCAATGTACCTTCCAAATGGATTTCTTTTACTATTTTATCCTCAAAGAGAAAAGAGTTTTTTTTACAAGTGTACCTTATAAGGCTAAAAGAGTTAAGAAAAAAAGAGAAACTCAGGGGGTCTATGCGCAATAACAGAACTACTAGTTGATATGTTCGGCAATTATGGTCCATAACTGACCACGTACCAACTGACATGATGGGTGAAGGAGACATATTTTAACATTAAAACTTGCAACTGACCCCCCTTACTTTAATATGTGACAAACTTTGAACAAAACATGGGTGATTTGCGAGCACCTTCGCTTCCACCAATAACCACGGGTGCACGTGCTCCCTTCAAGTAACCAAATCGCAAGCTTCTTCTTCTCTCCATGCTCCTGCGGTTATTCTTTTTTCATGGCCCCTGGAATTTCTCCCATTCAACCATTGGTTGATGTAAGAAAGAGAAAGGAAAAAAACTATGGTGGGATTTAGGACAACAACATTGCCACGTGGGTTTTCTCCATTGGGTAACTTCCTCCGACCTCTCCCCTTCCCCTGAAAAAAAGCAAATAAAAATGCCTCAAACCCCTCCTCCTTAAATACTCTATCTCTCCATTGGATAAGAATTCTTTTAGTAGTCCTCCATTCTTCTTTCTTTGAGGGGGAGAGGTTAGAGTGTTTTGTGTTGTGGATTTGGTAGTTTGCAGGTGAAGTTTTGGGTGTTTGATTGCACCTAATTACTTCATCTCTCTCTGCCAGATCTCAATCTGCATTTCTTTCTAATCCCTCTCTGTTTTTCTCCTAAAATTTGGGTTTTTGTTGCACCCAATTCGCCAAAAAACCATTTAATTTATAGGATTTTGAGATTTTGTGAGCTGGGTCTATGCTTGTTTTGTGCTTTTGTTGCGCCCAGTTACTCTTCAGAGAGAACTAATTTGATTTGAGGAGAGAAACCCACTGTTCTCTCTCAAAGCAACAGGTGTTGGTCTTATCCATTATAGACCACTTCGGTGCTGGGAGATTTTGTGGGTTTGTTTATTGCTTTGTCAACAGATTGCTCCTCCTTCAATCCGAAGAATCTGGCTTTGAAGCCCTCAGTGGGTTTCATAGCGTCAGCAAAACCCATTTAAGCATTTAAAGATTGAGGGTTCAGTCTATATTTGATTCGAATTTTTTACCCCTCTCTGAATTCTTTAATTCCTGTTGTCACTTTTCCATCAACAATTGGGTCATTATTTTGATATATTTATGCGGAGCTTCAATTGGTCCCTCTAAACAATAATCCCTCCTTTGTTTTCTCTTATCTGATGCTTTTCTTCCTTATATCCATCATCCCTTTGTTCCTTCTAATCTCCAAGTCTCTCCCTTTGAAGGCTCTCCCTTTATGGGCAAGTGAGGTTAGATTACTCTCAATCTTGTTCTGGCAAGAATTCTTGTACTTTTTGGTGTATTCAGTGAAGAATACTAGGCTTATTTCTTCCTGGGTCATTGAGATTTCGATCAAAATGAGTTCCAAGAGGAAGTGTGCTTCTAGAGTCCAGAATGTGGAGGAATCAATGGAGATGTCTGTACTAGATTTGCCCGATTTGGCCTTGGAGTGTATTTTAGGAAAGCTTTCTCCTTCGGGGTTATGCAACATGGCTTGTGTTTGTAGCTCTTTGAGGGATTTGTGTAGGGATGATTACTTATGGGGGAGGCATATGAGGGAGAAATGGGGGAGGGTTATAGGCCAAAGTGTGAAAAGGGAGTGGGAATGGTTCTTGGCTTCGAGGAAAGAATCCTCGGGTGCTTGTGTCGAGAGGCAGAGCGCTAAGAAGCCCAAGAGGTGGATTCGATCTCTATCGCATGTTTGGCCTCTTTCTTGGATTAAGATGAGACTTGTTGAAGGTGGCAATAGAGTTCGAAGCCCTTTGCCTAATAACTCCATCATGTCTTGGTATCTGTCCCTTGAGAGTGGCAAATTTTGGTTCCCTGCTCAGGTTTACAATCGTGAGGTATTGACCAATTGATGATAAAGTTCAGAATATTTCGAGCAATTCATAATTTGCATGCAGTGAATCTATTTGACATTAGAGATTTCAAGGAATTTAGATTACTCTTTTGATATGTTAGCACTTGTTAAGAGTATAAATCTATTTCTGTTTTTGACTTAATGTGTTTGATTCTTTGATATACTGATCATTAGTATTAACAGTTTGATGTTATTTTTGCAGCATGGTCATGTGGGATTCATGTTATCTTGTTATGATGCTGAACTTAGTTATGATTGCCGCACTGATACCTTTCAAGCAAGGTACCTAATACAAATGCGTATGCAACTACCATTTTTACTTATGATTTTTTGTTCTATAGTTTCCTTATGTGGGAACAATGTTAGATGTTATAAGTTTCCATATATGTTGGAATAATATCTATGATAAAGTTGAAACTAGTCCAGAATTTATTCCTTTAACTATGTTAAAGTGAATTGGGTATTGGTACTTAGTTGCAATGATTTGTTGCCTTTTAGGTACCCGCCTCATGGGCGAAGAACAGTAGTGATTGAAGATGGAGTTCAATGGGACAGGATAAGAGCCCCCCCAGTCGATACCCCCGCTCATGATCTTCATATCTCTGATTGTTTGCACGATCTACGCCCTGGAAATCATATTGAGATTCAGTGGAGAAGGAACAAAGAATTCCCATATGGTATGTAATCTTTAGCGTCGCTGGGTAGTTCCTATATATTGTTTCGAGTATTGGTTCTATGCAAATACTGTAATAAATTCATGTTTTTATTATTTTTGGCAGGTTGGTGGTACGGAATTGTAGGACACATGGAACCATGTGACGGGAGTGAACATTTCTGCCATTGTCATTTAAATGGTAAGGATATTGAGAACTATCATGGATTAAATGTTGTTTCTATTTTAAACTCGACAGTGCACTTCTCTTTTATGTGTTTTGTTCAATTTGTAAGCTGATCATAGAATCGTCTACTGTTGAGATAAACTTCTTTTGCAGCTTTCATTAGAGAAATCTGACTCTTTATGCATAGGATGTTATACTATGTGGTAGCTTATAAAGTGAGATGTCGACAACATGACACGAGATACTATCACCATACTAGTTGTTGTTCTTTCTTATTACCTTCTAGTAACCTTTAAATGATAATTTTGCTTTTGTTTGGTCATTAATCTATCAAATAAAAGTTTTAAGCTGTTGATTTGAAGCTATAAAATTCACAATACTGTTCTCTTTTCATCTTTTAGACCCAAGACTGAGTCAAACTAGTCATATATCGTGTTAATGGAAACTCATCCTTTTGAAATTAGGTTTCCTGTATTTTATTGTAGCGGTCAAACTTAGACAGCTCTGTCTCGCTTGAAAATTATACCAAAAACACACACACACACATATATAAGAGTACCATATTGTGCCCGGACTTCAAACAGTTTAGCTTTAACCATGTACACACACACAGAGCAGAGCTAATTGATTCTATATTCAGTTATATCCTTCATGGGAGAAAAATTGCAGATGTTCCTCCTTCCAGTTTTTTTCATGAATAGCCTTTCTTAGACTCAGTGTTCCTTTTCTTATTTGTGCCTTTAGTTGAATCCTGCACTGGTTGCAACATGCAACACACATATTTGTCCTTTTTAATCTGCTGGATTATATTTACATCATTTCAATCAGCTACTAGGCAATGTGAATTAAAACTGAATTTGATACTCGAGTGAGATACAGACTTGTCCTAGGACCTTGTGTGTATAAAATAAACCGTCACATTTGGAAACTAAACTTGAGAATGGTTGTTTATTTTTATTAGACATACAATGAATAATACTTCAGGATGTTAGCCATAAAAGTGTAATTTCTTCTAAAGTTGCACAAACTTTAATCTTTTTCCTGAAAACCATTGCAGATACCATTGCATTAGAATTTAATCAATACACACCCGGTTCAAGATGGAGGCGAACATTGATAAATCGCCAGGATCATAGAGAAGAAGGGAACGAATCAGATGGATTCTATGGAGGAATCAGAAAACTCTATACCAAGGATGAGATCTCTACGTGGAAGAAGCTTTGGCCAGTTGAGGTTTTGGAGTGAAGCAATTCTCCAAGTGCATTTTTGGTGAAGTTTCAAGGTCTTCTTGGCTTTTTAGCATCATTCAATTCTACCCAATGTGATTTACTACTTCCGGTTCTATCAGTTGTGGATTAGAAATTTGGAGGAGAAATTATGGTACTCAAAGATCCTACCAGAATCCAATGTTGTAGTTTTAGAATAAGGCATTTAATTGTAAATTAAAGTATATATATGTTACTCCACTATTTTTATATAAAAATTTGTCATTACACAGCTGTGTTTTTTACCCTGCTTTTTGGTTACCAGAATGGAAAACTTGTGTAGTTTTCATTCAAATCTTGTGCTATTGCATTATCTGTACCAATATGTGCTAGTTGAAGATTAGTTGAAACATGAATGAAGCATCTCAATGGTAATTTGAGTAATAATGAAAAAGGAGTATGTTGAGGGCAATTGTGGGTGTTAACCTCATATAATTTCATACAATTTATTTTTTCTCTTCTTTCATCATCTGGGTATTCTTTTTATGAATATATATACTCTGTCCATTAAAATATCTAAAAGTCTCTGTCAAGAGCAAACTCTTATGAGATTGGAAGCAGAGCAGAAGATTATTCTTGATAGAAACTTGCAGATAAAATGTGGCCAAACAATCAATTCCTACTCAGCAAACCACTGTTCACAAGCTCTATCATATGTTACATGTGCATGTGAAAATATAATGTTTCTCGAATACGTAAAGGGGAACTACCTTTTTTGTTATCTTGTATATTACACCTAAGAGTTGGCTGGTTAATTCATTCGGTCACATGGCCTCGGCTTCAACTTTTTGGGCAAAAACTAAACGTTTATATCATTTGTGCGCTTGAGAGCCGGGACGTCAACTTTCCAGTCTAATTTTTTTTTTTTTCACCAAAAAGTTCTCCAACAGAAAATTATTGATGATATGAATGAATAAATAATTTGCAGAGATGGCACTAAAAATATCGAATTAGAATTTATGTGGCATTGTCTCCTTCTATTAAACTGAGACGTTCCTCTTGATATCTTCTTCATCTTGTCACTTTAAGTTGAAAACATGTTTTTTTTACTTTTCGTTCAAGAGCTCCCCCCACCCCACCCACCCAAACGGTAGAAACCGCCTTAAAAATGGATTCAGATCTGCTCCACTATAAAAAATTAGTAAAGAGCTCACTTCATTATCGCAATCATTGATCATCTAGTAAAATGTTATGATTTTTCTTTTAGTGCAAATTAAGAATGAGTGCAATACATGGGGGTATTGTGAGTTTTAGATTTAGAATAAATCACAAATATCTAGTAAATTATCAACGATGGTCATCAACAGTAGTGTTTTCTTCACTATTTTTTTATAGTGGAGAGGATCCAAATTTGTTAAAATAGGGTAATTTTATACGTACCATCTTTGAATTTCAATTTATATACAAACGACGTTTAAAGTAGGTTTGTGTTTCAATCAACCACCTCGTAGTCAAAAAAATTCACTAAATACCCAAAACTAATCAATAAAAAAATTCATGTTCAAAATATGTGACTTATATCCTAACTAAAACTAACATTAACGAAATAAGTCACATGCGCTGGATGTAAGTTTTAAAAGATTTTTTTAGATTTTAAGTGAAATTTTTGACTAAGAGGCGATTGATGGCAACACAAACTCACTTAAAATATGGTTTGTGCATAAGTTGAAACTTGAAAAAAGATTCCTGTAGAATTACGATATTTTAAAGATGGCTTCTTAAAGATGGTTTCCAAGAAAG